TATGTCACCCATATTCCTTCTTTTCTCTAGACTAGCTAAACCCAAGTCTTGCAACTGTTCTTCATACGTTTTACCCTCCATCATCTTTAATCATCTTAGTTGCTCTTCTTTGCACTTTTTCCAAAGTCTTAACATCTTTTTTGTAGTGTGGTGACTAAAAATGGATGCAGTATTTCAGGTGTGGCCTTACAAAGGCTTTATAAAGTAGTACTAATACTTCATATGAGTTTGATTCTTTCCCTCTGTTTATATAACCAAGGATTGTATTAACTTTTTTGGCTGCTGAAATCAAGATATAGTGTATCTACAGCATTCCCATAATCCACTAAAGAAGTTACTTAATCAAAGCCTCACATAAATTGATCTGGCAAAATGACTTCTCATTAAATGAGAACTTTGGATATTTTTTTTAAGGTGACTACATATCATAGATCATTTTGTGGTCTAGCATAGAAATTTCCTATATTGATAATGAAACCCTTGGTCTTGCTTTCTCCCATATTTAAAGTTATGGACATTTTATTTTCTCCTTGGGAGCTCAAAAATTTGACTTGCTCCAATGAGAATTTATAAGATCTTATCAGAGAGTATTTAAATATTGAAATAGCTTCTGATTCCGGTAGAGTTTGTCATTTCTTTGTTTATTTTATGTTATAGTTTGGAAGCTGGACAATGCAGCACCTCTGAGAAACATATTGCCATCTCTTGCTTAAGCTTCTATATGTATTTTAATTATATTTCTAAAGAAGGGACGGGATGGCTCAGTGGCTAAGATGCTGAGCTTTTTGATCGAAAAGTTGGCAGTTCAGCGGTTCAAATCTCTAGTGCCGTATAACAGGGTGAGCTCCCGTTACTTGTCCCAGCTTCTGCCAACCTAGTAGTTTGAAAGCACGTAAAAAATGCAAGTAGAAAAATAGGGACCACCTTTGGTGGGAAGGTAACAGCGTTCCATGCACCTTTGGCATTGAGTCATGCCGGCTACATGACCACGGAGATGTCTTCGGACAGCGCTGGCTTTTCGGCTTTGAAATGGAGATGAGCAATGCCCCCTAGAGTCGGGAACGACTAGCTCATATGTGCAAGGGGAACCTTTACCTTTACCTTATGTTTTTTAAAAAACCACAAGGCTTTTAAAATAAATAAATAAATAAATAAATAAATAAATAAATAAATAAATAAATAAAATATCCAAATATAAAAACATCCAAATGAGGATTATATAAATCCATGTAGGAAATAAACAAATCCTATTGTTTTTGAAAACTATTATCAATATAGTTTTTCAGCATTATCTCACTCAATCAAAATTCCTCACCTGGGTGGTCCTCCCCCATCTGAGAGGAAAAGGACTAAGATCTGGAGATGTCGCCTTTTAAAGTAAAGGGATTTTGCTTGCTTCTTGCAAAATCCTAAAGATCAACTTGTCCAAAGAGGTTTTGTGCATATGGTGGATGTGGGTTATCATTGTAATCTTATTTTCTTTCCTTAGTCTATTGCTGTTTCATTGTACTTTGGGCATATTGTAAATCACCTTGAGCCTTTGGCAGTATGGTGGCCTTCAAATAATTGTATAAACAAATACACATTTAGGACCTGCCAACAAAACTGGGTATCAAGCTAAGAAAACTTGTCTCTCAAGGACATAATCAATATTCTGATTTTGTGCTTACTGATTAAGGTATCCTGATCCAGAGAGGCTACAAAATATTGTTGTATGAGATTCTCATTCCTATACAGGTAGTCCTCGATGTAGGGGCACAATTGAGCCCAAAATTTCTGCATAAATAATAAGCAACACACTTATTAAGTGAATTTTACCCAATTTTATGACCTTTTTTGCCATGGTTGTTAAGTGAATCACTGCAGTTGTTAAATAAGTAACATGGTTATTAACTGAATTCCCATTGACTTTGCTTGTCAGAAAATTGCAAAAGGGAATCATATGATCAAGGGACACCACAACCGTCATAAATATGAATCAGTTGTCAAGCATCCACATTTTGATCATGTGATCATGGGGATGCTGCAACAATTGTAAGTGTGAAAAACGTTAATAAGTCACTTTTTCCAACACCATTGTAACTTCGAAAGACCACTATGTGTACCATTTTAAGTTAAGGACTACCTGTACATGTTATGCATCATATATAGTTTTGAAGGATATTGAACAAGCATATATGTGATGTAGCGCTGTTAATCTAGAGAAAATGTACAGAATTAAAGAACTACAAAAAATAAATGATACTAAGAGATTTTCAAATAGATTATTTTTGTTGTTGTTGTTAGTTGCGAAGTCATGTCCGACCCATCGAGACCTCATGGACAATGTTTCTCCAGGACTTCCTGTCCTCTACCATCCTCTGGAGTCCATTTAAGCTCAGGCCTACTGCTTCAATGACTCCATCCAGCCATCTTGTTCTCTGTCGTCCCATTCTTCTTTTTCCCTCAATCTTTCCCAGCATTTGGTTGTTCTCCAGTGAGTCCTTCCTTCTCATTGGCCAAAGTATTTGAGTTTCATCTTCAGGCTCTAGCCCTCCAAAGAGCAGTCAGGCTTGATCTCCTCTAGGACTGACCGGTTTGATTGCCTTGCAGTCCAAGGGATTCACAGGAGTCCTCTCCAGCACCATTGTTCAAAGGCCTCAATTCTTTGGTGCTCAGCCTTCCTTATGGTATAGATCAGTGGTCCCCAACCCCCGGTCCGCGGACCGGTGCCGGGCCGTGGAGTACCTGGCACCAGGCCGCGCAGCGGCCGGGGGACATGAACGCTGCAGCGCAAAGGCTCCTGGGCCGTGCGCAAAAGCTCCTGGGCCGTGCGCAATGGGCCGTGCGCAAAAGCTCCTGGGCCGTGCCCCCACCCCTGCGCGCGCTCAGCGGGCCGCGGCAATAAAAAGGTTGGGGACCACTGGTATAGATTATTTAGGAAACCAAATTAATAGCTGAAACAGAGCTTCCTCATCAGACTTGTTCGGTCCAAAATGACTGTATCCAGATCTTTAGTATTCAAGTAAGCTATTTCATGAAACATACCATGCTATATTTATAGCAGAATAGTGATCATTATTACTGACCAGTCTGTTCCTTAATGTTGATTTTTATAGTAATGAAATCAGAGCTCTTAATCAGGTGATCTGACAAATGTGCAATTTACCAAGAAAAATTATGTCCTGCTGAAAGTATGTACGTGGAGGATGGAAAATCCTAGACACCAGGTAAATGCCAGTGCTGCGATCTGGATTATAAGGTAGGTAACAAAGATTCAATAAATATTTATGCATTTTTTAAAAAATAATTTGATTAGAGAAGAGCTCAAAGCCCGAAATAGGAATCTGATGACACTGACTGGCCTTTGTCACATCTTAGCAAATGCTAAAAGAATGCAGTTTTGACACAGAGGACAATGGAAGAGGATATTAATTCTACAAGGCTATGATGTTTCTATCAGACTCTTATGGGCGCCTTAACACAGTGGCACAAGAGATGCAGCTACTGAATCAGATGAGAACCAAGAAAGCTTGAATCTAGCTCACCCTGTTGACAATTTTAACATGCTAGATGGGAAATGTTAACACAGCAGAATAGAGTTTAGCAAATATGTGCGGTTTAATTGTACTAAATCTACTAATTTAATTTTAATAGAGGTTCTATTAAAATTAAATCAAACATAATGTAGGGTTGTTTTTTTTCTGGCTTCACCTGCTTCTTGGTCCTAGCTCTGCCAACTCCTAGCAGGTACAAGTGCCAGCATGCAATTTTACCTTTGTTCAGGTATTAGAAAACCAGAGCACACATCAGATTAAAATGTTAACTATGCTTCATTCTTCTAGCATCACTCAAATTATTTCCATCACTTGAAGACTGTTGTATATTTGGCATGAATTGTTGGAATAGTACCTGGAACCTCATGAGACAAAACACGGAATGTCATATAATGCTTGTTTAAAACTAAGAGCATCCACTTACCAGTAAAATGTAACTCCTATAAATATATTTAGTGCATGGCTAACGACCATTTTAATGATAGATCATGCCAGAATAATCCATTCATTTGCAAACATAACTAATGAAAAAAATCATGCCAGAATGAACAGGAAAACATTCCATTCCAGACCAGAATTATAATATAATATCAAAGTTGGGCATAAAACATGTGGGAGGCCATGAGACATACAATCTAGCAATTAATACACAATTTGCTCATTCTGATGAATAACGACATTGTGGAATGTTCTTAAAAGCAGAAGAACATGTGTCTCAGCATCTGCCTTTCAAGAAGAGATTAAAATGGAAATAATGCCCAGATTTGAACTAATTGAAAATTGCTGTACAGAGACTAATATATTATCCTATTTAGTATTATATGAAGAGAGCAGATGACAGTTAATTCAGCTTTCTCTCCAGTGATGTGCCCTAGATCTAAATATCTTCCCATCTACATTCTCCTCCATGAGTGGAAATTGTGACTGGTTATCCATTGCTATTACACCTGTACTAAGATGTAAATGGCTAAATCATGATATTAACTCTGCCAGTTTATTTTTAGTAGGGATGTTTAGACAGGCTATAAGTCTCTTCCTATAATATGTATAACTTGCAACTGTACCTATTGTTAAATAAACAAAAGTAATTATTATAAGTTGTGTCTTATAATATGAGGGAACACATGTTTCATTTCCTAGAGATTTATTGCAGTTCTGTTCAGATCTTAGTGGTGGCTGGGCTCTGGCCCTGTGCAGTGTAATGATTCAAGGACTTAGTGGTTCCAAGGGCAGTAGTGGCATATGGGTTTGAGTGGCCTGGCCTGGCTGCTGTTTTCCTGGCATGAGCCAGCATATAGAATAAATAAAAGGAGAAAAAGCAGATCAATTCTTGCCTTGAAGGGATGCAGCAGTGTCACAAGGCATGATGAGCTGACTTGGCTGCTAGCCAGGACTGGTTTGATGAGATGTCACTATGGCAGTACCATTGATCCAGCCTGGAATATGTGCAGTGCTCAGATTATGATGATAATTGGGACCAGAATTTCCATTGCTAACTGATGAGATCATAAAGCACAATGTCACATGACCACATCACTTAGCAATAGCAATCACAGCAGTCCCAATTGGCTTCATAACCCAGTGAATGTGCAGGTCATTAAGAGAAGACTTCATGTGACTGGAATTCTAGACAATAATGCCAGTAGGCAAGAGCTTTGGCTGAATGAGTGGACACTACTGAGGGCAGGCAGGCAGGCTGATGAGGGCCACTTCAGAGTGGACTGAGGTTTGTGTGTGTAAGATCCCTCATACTCCATAGCAGGGTTCCTCAGGAGTGGATTGGTGTGTGTGTATGTGTCTGTTTGTATATATAAAATCCCTCATACTCCATAGCAGGGTTCCCCAGAAGAAAAAATGGTAAGAGTGACTTATGGTAGTGACTTGTGACCTTCCTTGTCAGCTTCCCCATTATCTTTGAACAGGACAGGAAAAAGTCGGTGAATGAAGTGAACTGAGTGGTTGCAGAGAATGAATTGACTAGAAGAGAAGTGAAGAGTGAAGAGAAGATGTCAGTCCCTGTTTGGAAAAGAAAAAAGAAAGGTCCAGGGATGATCTTCTTGGAAGAAAGAGAAATAGATTCTGAGGCTTATGATGCGGTAATATTATTTGTCAGAGGCAAGACCTAAGTAAAAGCCCAGTGACTGAATAAAGCTTCTTCCTTAATGCAATATCTGTTCAGCATCTTGAATTTGATAAAAAAAACTTTGAATGTCAGCTTATGTGCTTCTATAGTAACTAACTGTTGGTCGATCTTTCTTAAGACTTGTAAATGGTAGAAAAGAATTAAACGCTCCCTCTTCCTCCAGGAGTGATGTAATCAGTAAAAGAAAATAAAGAAGTCAACATGTGACAAAGAGACAGAAAGAGCAGACTATGGATGTTGCAACCATTTGTATTGGCAGTTTCCCTTTCTGAAAAATTGAATTTCAGAGCAATACACTCTTACTTTCTCTTTAAAATATATCTCTTCTTTTGGTAGAATAAAAACTCAGAAATGTTAAGAGTACAATAGAAAAGCTAAAGTTCCAAAATGTCAGTTGCAAACCTTTTAAATTATCATTTGGAACCGCCATTAAACTTTACTTAACTATCTTACATATGTATGTGAATGTCAAAAAGCTGGAAGGCATAAGAAATAAGCTAGTAGCAAGTGGTGGAAAGAAACTTGAGAAAATGTCCAAATGAGACGAGTGAAAGTTTTGGTTCACTCGTCTCATTTGGTATATATGAATGACAATCATCCAAGCTCTTCATTTTAAAGATTACATAAAATGTTTACCCATTTTGTTCCCCTTAGTCATATGATGCAATTTAATCTTCCAAACTACAGTAGTTTCCAACAGTCTACAGTCATTCTTCTTGAATCTACTCAGTCTAATTTCACAACTCTTGCACCTTAACTTGAGGCAATGTAAGGTTGTTTATCTAGCACCTCAACAGCATTTTACAAATTTGCAATCCACATATTTCAGCATTTGCACAATTCATTTGCTTATTTGTGTTTCTCTCTGCCACTATAATCTTTGTTATTATCAATTTTTATTAGTAGTACTTCAATTGTAATTCCTTAGTTAAGTATTCTTTCTAATTGCTTACTACATATTTGCTTGCTTTTATTTTTCAAAATACTATTAAACACAACAAAAAATAAACTCCCTTGGAGGCCATATAATAGTTTAAGAAATGGGGGAAAGCTTTAATTCTGTTTTAATACTTCTTTTAATTCCTTCTGCTTCTTACCTCAGACAAGTGCTGCATCAGACTAAAGTCTAGTCACCAAAAGTATCTGCCTCTCTAGTTACATCTCTTCTAGGCTGTCTGGTTTGAAATCTCCAAGGTGATTATTTTGTTCCATTTAAAGAACAAGGCCATCTATTGTATTCTGGAGTTTTCCACATAGAAAACTTTTCATCATTGTGCTGTGGCCACCTACAAAAGGACAGTTGGAAGTAAATGGATCACAGGCTCCAAGAATAATCAGTCTGAAGTACAAGCACATTCTCTAATCTTTATTGTTAGAAAGATTCTGGATCTCACTGAACATTTTGCAGTGTATTAACACTGTTTATCTGCAATGCAAATCTGGAAAGAATTTATTTTTAATTCATTATTTTGTTCTTTTCCCCCTCCAGTGAAGCCTCTTGTTTTCCCTAATACCAGTACAGAGGTTTCAGAGTGATCATTTCTCAACCTTAACAGTTTAAAGATATATGGACTTCAACTCCCATAATTCCTCAGCCAGCAACCTGGCTGAAGGCCACACACCTTAAAGATGCCAAGATTGAGAAACAATGATTTACACTGATTGGATGTTGCATGTTCTGGTTAAATGAAGGTACAGCTTGCCCTATTATCTTTAGTGAACTCAGGTTTACCATTAAGATACGGGATTTTTTTAAAAAAATATCTTTAGTTGCGTTACTTCTCCATTTTTTTCTTTTTAAATGATCCCATTGATTTAAAATGCTAAGCTTTTAAAAACATTTACACTTGGATTTTCTTATTGGGGGGGGGGAAAGGCCTCCAATTGACAGTATTAGTGTATATGAAACTTCTTTTAAAATATTAAACTTGAGTAATTCTTATTAAAATTTTAAATGACTGGCAACCACATTTGAATGAGTGTAGTGTGGTAGGGATGGAAAAAATTCTCAAAGCATTCATATCTTTAGCATTTGCTTTTCATCTAGCACCAGGGTTGGGGGAAGATTTAAAAAGAAACATTTCCTGATTCAAGTTTAGTCCTGCTAGTACCTCAAATAACAGGGATATTTCATTTAGGAAGACTTGAATAATGTTTTCCTGAATATAGTGGAAAAGAGTATTTGCTCTGCATAAAACAGAATGGGTGCAATGCAGGTAAAATAACATGCTTTGATTTTTAAAATTGTTAGAGTACAGTCCAGATAGCAGTAGCATCCCTTTGATATCAATGGGGGGGCTGAGGATCTGTGAAGTTTTTCTTCTGTGAAAACTGCTTTTTTTTTTTTATGTTGAGCATGTCGATCATCCCATAAGCAGCTCTTTTGCTGCAGTGCTTGGAAATGATGAGACGGTAATTACAGAATGAATTTAGAACCCTGTATTTGAATTTAGAAGATTTGATTTGAAAGCTATTAAAATTATACTCTCAAGAACATGAATCACAATTTCAAACAACATTTTAATAGAGGGAGAGAGCTTTTCAAAACGTGCAAGCAATTTATTCACTATATTCTTACTGTTAACTTTTTCTTAAAGCCTGAAGAGTGTGTTTCATCTATTTTTCTAGAGATACAGTTTTTAAGAAATAAAGAAACAAAAGCAATGTACAGTGGCCCCCAGGTAAACTGAGCAATATCTTGTAACAGACAAAAGTCAATAACCAGTTGCCAAGAGCACAATAGCCAGAACACGTCCTTCTATGTCAGCCTTTTAAGGTGAGCATAATGAACCTGAGCAAAGTTATTAGTTGAGGAACAAAAATGAGGAAAATATTTATGTATTACAAAATGCTGCAATATCCTCATTGCACATGGGATCTTTCTGAGTGTAAGCTCTTTTGTTAATGCTCAAAAAAGGCAAATCCATCCTCATGCGAAAGGGCAAATGTTCTCTGTTATGATTGATTGATTATGGGCCATCAAGACAGTGTTGGCTGTTAGATAGATTTTCCCAAGGACCATTTGTCACCAATCTGGTGTTTCAAATCGTCCAGGGGTGTATACCCATTGCTGTTATAATTGAATCCATCCCTTGCTGCTGCTAGTGTACTTTATTATAGAAGAATTTAAAATTATGATAGTTATTTAGGTTGTAAGACGCTGAGAACTTGGCCATAGGACAACAAATAAATACCACGTAGACAGAGATAGAGATGCTACAAAGAGATGGAGAACTTCTCCAGACTCCAACACTGAAGGTTTTTAAGAAGAGATTGGACAACCATTTTTCTGAAATGGTATAGGGCCGTGACGGCGAACCTATCGCACGTGTGCCCAAAGTGGCACACGAAGCCATGTGCCCAGCATGTGCGGCATTGACTGTTTGTCTTCTGGGTTTCTGCAGCACATGCACACATGACAATCAGCTGTCTTTCGCGTGCATGGCAGTGCTCAAAACTGGTGTGCACATGCACGCCAGCCAGCTGATTTTCAGGTGCACATGCGCACTAGAACCCAGAAGTTCAGCTTTTCTTGAGTGCGGCCCTGACGAGCGCGCGCAATGTTTCCATGCGACCTTTTCGGCACTCGGTGCCAAAAAGGTTCGCCATCACTGGTATAGGGTTTCCTGCTTGAGCAGGGGGTTGGACTAGAAGACCTCCAAGGTCCCTTCCAACTCTGTTATTCAGTTAGATGCACACACACACACACAATACCCCCACACACACACTTGTAATCTGTCCAATTAAGAGTTGGAAGAGACCATTTAGACTGGGGTAGGCAATTAATTTCCCAAGGAGCCACATGAGAAATTGTGACTGTGATTGAGGACCACTGCTGTCCCCAACTGCCACCCCTGCCACTGCCCCCTTGCCACCACTGCAGGCGGGACAAAAACAGCCAAAGAATTTAATGTGGCCCATGGACATAAAATGCCCATGTTGGTTTAGACTAAAATCTAATCACCTTCTCAGTACAATGTAATGAAGATGATTGTTTAGTATGGCTGTGTTACTATTATCTTTCTCATCTTTTCTATTGCCTTCTCTTATTGGTATCATTATTATGATTATATTACTTTGTTGTTTGTATGTGGACTGAGAGCTTGTGTACCCGACACAACTTCCTTGGGTGTCCAGTCCAACATAAAAGTAATCTATTCTAGTCTAGTCTAGTCTAGTCTAGTCTTACTAGTACATCCATTGATGGAAAGTCCATTAGATAGTTGCTCAGAAGTGCTCTTACAGTGGGAAATCTTTTGCATTGTTTAACCAGAATCAACCTTTGTATAACTTAAATCCATTATTCCATGTCCTACAGAAAAGAGGACATACATTGAACTACTTTTGTATGACATCCTCTCAAGTATTTGAGAAGTGCTGTGATATTATCTCTCAGTTTTCTCTCCTCCCCCTATTAAGATAATTGTATTAAAAGTTTTTAAAAGGAGAGTAAAAACTAATACAAACTAATATAAAGTAAAGAAAAAAGAAAAAAAACAGCAAGAAGTGCAAAAAAAGAAAAAAGAAAAAGAGAAACAAAAAAGAAAGATATAAAGAAGTGGCTTCTTTCTATAATTTATCTTGCTTATCATTAAAACCATAAATCATAAGTTCATGGGGTTTTTTTCTATTTTGCGTAAAGTCCACAAGGAGTTTTCAGTTACAAATGAAGATGAATATTTGAATTCTTTGAATCCAATCTAGGTCGGTCACCAGGAACAGAGGTTTTGTCTTCTGAGCTTTTGGACTCGTGCTGGTGCCCATCTTCAGGGAACTTCTCTCTAGTCTTCAGTTAGCAATAAATGTCTGTCTTTTTCTCTAATCAGTTAAGTCAATTTGGCCATCTCTGTGAGTTCCATCATCTTCATCAACCACTTTTCCATTTAGGTATTGCTGAATCTTTTCAACTTTTTGCATACATTAATCTTGCTGCAGTTTTCTTATGAAAAAGCAAAATTCCATGACTTTTTCCAGCTATTTGTCCATCAGTCCCCAAAGAAAAACCTCCAATTTCAATTGTATATA